AGAGATCAAGGCTAATTTGGATATAATTCTGTATTGGCAGATGAGCTATTTAAGAAACAATATACAAGTAAGACAATGAAAAGAAAGCAGCAATTTTTTTCTGCTGTTTGTAAAGAAAAATGGAATATTAAAAATAAAAATGCAAGAAATAAATTAAAACAACGAATAGAACAAGTTGCACCATTACTCTCATTTATATTTTTACCACGTAGTCAAGAGCCTTTACCTGCAAAGTGCCCAGGTTTGATTCTTCCACATCCTTATACTACCAAGATTGACCCACAGAACCTTCTGGAAGGTCCATATAAGAAAAAATCTCAGAGAAAGAATTTCCTGAAACTTAAATTGGCAGAACATATACTCTCTGTGTGAAGTCCTGTCTATTATAATATGCTAACTAAAAAGAATGGATGATAGTTACTTATAACATGTACTTCTGGAATTTAGATAAATGAGCATAGTTTAACATTATATATTTTTCCTAAGCCTTGAGGACAGAGTCTAGGCTGGAAATAATAATAATTGGGTGAGTTAAAAAATTAGAAATAAGACAGATGGAGTTACAGCATTAGTGGAGTTTAAGAGTACTGTCAGGATTCAAACTTAGAAATGAATTAAGAGGAAATGTCCAGCCAAATGATTAAAACCCAACATCCAATGAGAAAATGGGATTTCAGATTCTCCTGAGTCCCCTGGGCTCCTCCCAGCACAATGTTTTCCCACCCATTCCACCAAAATACAAAATATGTCTGGCTTTTGGCTTGGACAGAGAATTGTATAGCACTGATTAAGTTGTTCTCAGCCTGAACGGTCAATGTGTGTTTTTATTTGTTTGTTTGTTTGTTTGTTTGTTTTTTTCCTTCTTCAGGTATAGAAAGCTACTGAGGTTGTAAAAAACCTTTATAGAAATGAAATGTATAAAAACTTCCTGTAACCCTGAACAATCTTGACACCACACGAGGCACACTTGAGAAAGAGACTTCCTCTAGAATGTGAGAAGAAAGATTTAGAAACAAAGTTAAGAGAGATGAGAGTAGCATGGCTCACAGAAGGGAGATCAAACACTCTATAGAAAATACACGTTACAGTGCAATTGCCCTAAAGGAGTTACAGGATTATGAAAGCCTAACTTAATTAAGGGAGAAAATAGGTCACATTTAACCACCACATACATGGCACATCATTTTGACTATACAGAATAAGAGGAGAAAAAATGAAGACATCAGAAATACAGGAAAGACAACCACAGAATGCATCAATCTCTTTTGCTCCATCTCAGTCAGGTATATGTTTTGATTTTATATGTATGAAAGATTCACAATTCTTCTAATATCCTGCTTTAAAACCATTAGCAGTATACTTGAAAGAGAAATTTCAGATGTCAAAAGAATGAGAAATAAAATGGCCCAACCTAAAATTAAAAATAAATAAATCTGAAGTGAGAGGTAAGAATATCCTTCCACTCATAAAAATATACCTTGTACTCTCTTCCCTTCCTCCCCCCATGTCATCAAATGACAGGTAATCAGGTCCTTGTGAACCCTGCATGGAATCTTCCCCCTTTCAGGGCTCAGTGTCCCTGTGGGGTCGAGCTAATTACAGGTACGTTTCCTCTGCCAGGCAGTCACACTCTGTACTGTTGAAGGCACAATTAATAATTGAACAAAGCTAGCTGGGTTTTTTTTCTCACAAGGCCACGGGTTGCAGGTAGCTTTGCTGTCACACAGGGAGCACAGCCTCTTCTTTGGGTGTCTACAAGAAAGGCTTTTGCAATATAGGCTGAAAAGGATCATCCCATTTTCAATTTTTGAAAAAAAAAAGGAAAATAACACACAAAAAACAAAGATGAAAAAATAAATCTTAGTTTCCTTTATAGGACAGTAAAGGCAAATTCTCTCTCCTGTCACCAGGAATATGATTATGATCAGATAGATGCTTATTTAGGTCAGATGTGAAAGATGAAAGCGTGGGCTGGGGAATTAATACCATTGTAAGGGAGAACTGGAGTTTGCCCTTGAGTCTGTGATTGCAGCAGGAGTTAGTTTTGCATGCGCCAGAATAGAATTTGACCCACAGAGAGGACCTAGATAGAGTATTATAGAAGAATAAAATTCTTTCCCTTGAGATGTCCATAGGAACTAAATGGATGATATCTCCAAAGCCCTATAGCATTAAGGATGAGTGCAGAAATCCTCATCCTATCCTCTAAGACATAGCCTTGAACAGGAGTCTGTCTGTAAACCATACTATAAAAGGTCAGATAGAGAACATTTTAGGTTTTGGGGCTAAGCCACCTTTGTTTCAATTATTCAACTCTGCTATTTTAGAGCAAAGGCAGTGTTAGACAATATATAAATGAGTGAGCATGGCTGTGTTTCCATAAAACTTTATTCATGGGCACTGAAATATGAATGTCATATATTTTTTCACAACAAAAATAAAATTCTTCTTTTGAAATGTTTTCTAACCATTTAAAAACCATTCTTAGCTTGCAGGCTGTACAAAAGTGGAACAGGCTGAATTTGGCCCAGGAGATGTAGTTTGCTGGCCCCTGGTCTGCCTATTGGAAACCCCTGTGAAGACACCTGTTTTTCTAGCTGATTTGGAGGGTTCTCTGAGTGTATCTAGATGCTGCCTTTACTGTGGAATATCTGGTCTACCTATGGCCTTTGTTGACTTGAAACATCATGGATAACCAGGTTATTCAGAGTTCAAATCACATGTTCATTATCATTAAAAAGTTTACTAGACCCCAGCCAGTGTGACTCAGTGGTTGAGCTTCAACCCACAAACCAAGAGGTCATGGTTCCATTCTGGGTCAGGGCATATGTCTGGGTTGTGGGCTCAATCCCCAGTGGGGGCATTCAGAAGGCAGCTAATTGATGTTTGATACCCAGAGGTGTATGATACCCAGAGGTTCACAATTCAAATTACCCTCCATATGTAATTTTCCCATGTGAGGATATAAAATGGGTCTGAGAGGAAATGAGCTTGATCTACCAAATAAGTACCTCATTTACTGTTCTTATATATTATAAATAAATGACAAGTTGCATCCATTAACAATGAGGATGGGTACTGAGTAACATTTTTCTCAAGAAAGTAGAAGCCTCTAGTAAGAATAGCTGCTTAAATAAAAGACTGTTCCATAGACATACACATAATATTAAAGTTTACCAGAGTTAGCCATGAAAATCTAAACTCCTAGACCAAGCTTGAAACTCTGGCTCTAGCTAACTATTTTTCTGAAAACAAGGGATAAAAAAAGAATATATCTTTAGATTCAGGTCACCAATAGCATTTTTTGCCTGAGAAAAAACATTTACTAGGCAATAGTGCACCTAAAGAAATAAAATAGTTTTATTAATGTAGTTCATTTCTTGATTATCAATTGAATATAATCTATCTTCCTTCTTTTCTTTACTTTTTTTCACAGAAATTAAGAGATTATAAAGAATATAGTATATATACATTTAAATTAGTTATAGGTGAGACAATATTAAAATAATGGTAAGAAAACAAGAAGAAAGCAAGGATTTGATGCCATAAAATCTCATATAGTTTGCTTAATATTCATATTGTTAATTTGTACTTTACATAGAATTTCCTATATTCTTTTATAAATGGGCCATAAATTTGGCTCTACCTTTGGTAATAGTTAATACAATGAAGGATTCATGATCATTTATAAAAATTCACTGGGTTCATTTATAGAAGAACAAGGCATTGCTTAGAAAAACAACACTAGAAATAATGAAAATAAATAGCAATTTCCTTAAAGGGTCCTTGAAATGGAAACTATGTAATAAAATTAACAATCTCTCAAAAACTTTACAACAAAAGCCACAATTTTAGAGGAGATCTTTTATGGCACCTTTAAATGGGGGCCAATAGCTTTTATAGCAAATTGTCATTCAGTAAAAGCAGTTCTACTTGGGACAGTGGTAGGTGGTGTAAGTTTGGGGGATGACATAATTCTATCCAAGTAGAATGTGCTCTGGTGGTTTAATTTAATCCAGGGGAAAGGTGTATGATACCCAGAGGTTCACACTTAAAATTATCCTCCATAGGTATTTTTCCCATGTGAGGATATAAAATGGGTCTGAGAGGAAATGAGCTTGATCTACCAAATAAGTACCTCATTTACTGTTCTTATATATTATAAATAAATGACAAGTTGCATCCATTAACAATGAGGATGGGTACTGAGTAACATTTTTCTCAAGAAAGTAGAAGCCTCTAGTAAGAATAGCTGCTTAAATAAAAGACTGTTCCATAGATTGGTTCAAACTTCACTTCATACATTAATTTGAGAGCTAACATAAAATAGAGGCCAATATTCTCACACTACAAAATACAGAGTGTTTTTTTTTTGGTTTGTTTGTTTGTTTTTTAAGATGCTATAACCAAATACTATCCTGGCCTTTTAAAATATCTCAGGATAGCTTTCCTTGTATGTCTAGCTTTGCACAACAACATTTTTATGGTGTTCATTCCAAAATAAAAATTGTTTTAAATTAATCTTTAGATAATTTTTATAAAGAAACTTTAAGAGAATATCAGATATAAGTCAGTTAATAGTTGGGAGCTATCTACTAAAAGAAATGACATTTCATAAGACTAATTGATCCCTACCTTTATAGAAAGAAGTATGTAAATGTAATCCATACAACACATTTGCCCCAAGACACTCAAACACCAAACTGGGATACATTTTAAACATAATATGAAGTAATTTAAGACATTTAATGCTTCTATATTTGTTGCCTTGGGGGAGTGTTCTATTGAAAATAAAATAAAATATATACATTTGTACCATGGTTGAAGACTTTATAGAGATGGACCCATACCAGGGAGGACCCTAAATAACTTCTATGTCACAATTCTATTAGTGTCATAATAATAAGGTACATGCTTGCCTTTCAGATCCACTGGAATCTCAGAAATGTGGGGCTCTCTTAAATAGTGTGTGGCATTTTGGAGACTGGAGGGTTGCTTACCAGTTGGTGTAAGGTGTCTCCAGGTGATAACAGGTTCAGGACGGCCATTGGCCATGCAGACCAGGGTCACATTGCTGCCCTCATTCACAGTGACATCCGAGGAGATGTTGGAGATCTTTGGTGGAACTGTAAAGACAAAAGCAAATGGAATGTGTAACTATGTCAGTAAAAGCAGGTTTGCAGCATTGGTCCTTGCAACTGGAAGTGGCAAATATGAGCTAAGTACTCTTATAACTTTAGGCCTCGAAATTTGGGGGTTAGGAAGCCAGGGTGTTTTAGGACCTCCTAGAGACTTAATGAGCAAATAAGAAGCATGAGTCTTACTATAAGGTGAGATTCTTTCCACTATGGCCAAGTGCTATAGGAAGTACAATGAAAATGACTCAGCTTTTTTCTGATTAGAATTACTTTTTTGGCTATTAGAGATTGTGGACATTTATACATATTAAGAATAAATTTTCTTATTACTGTTACTTACATTTTCTATCTATAAAAAGGAATATAATCTAATCTCTTGAAATGTCAGGAAAAAAGGTGTTATTTAGTATAAGATTTCATAGTTGTGTTATTAAGATACAGTGGGGCCTTGACTTACGAGTGTCCCGACTAACGAGTTTTTCGAAATACGAGCCGTCTCTTGGCCGATTTTTTGCTTTGAGTTGCGAGCTAAAATTCAGGTTATGAGCCAGCTTCAGATCCTCCCCCACTATTTGGCGCAGCGAACGTCACAGTGAACGCCACATCAGCCCAGCATCACGTGTCTCACTCGTTCACTTTTTGATTTGACATACGAGTAATTTGAGTTACGAGCTCTGTCAGGGAACGAATTAAACTCGTAAGTCAAGGCTCCACTGTATAGTAAAACCTGGATACTTATAATCTAGCCCCATAAGGAAACAACTGGCTACAATAGAAAGTCTCTAAATAGCATCTTGGTGGGTGCCTGCCGGATAATTAAAATTGAATTAATAAGGCCTATGTCACAGATAGGTAGATATTACCAAAAAAAAAATACTATTACTCCTAAAAACTATCATCACCACTACTACTAACAATTTAATAACAGCTAACTTGCATTACTTACTATACATAGAATTTTATTTATAGGTGAGAAAGTGAGGTATAGAGGGGGCTAGGTGAGAAGCAGAAAACTGATTTGACTCTAGGCAGACTCCAGGGCCCACACTTTTAAGCACTACTTGAATGAAACTTCATCTTCACAATCCAGGCTACCAGATGGCAGCAAATGACGACAATTACTTTTTGGTGATGTGAGAAATGAGTCCCCAAGGGCTAGTGGTACTGCCGTCTGACTCCTTCATTAGTGTTCAGGGCAGCCACGTTAGATCTCACATTGGTAGGCTGGAGTGGAAAGTGAATTACTCCCAAATTTCTTCACAGAGGTTATACACTGATTACAAATAGCAGAGTTTATGGTTTGACTGTGATTTTCCTTTTTTTACTCTTAGTGGCTTATGCTGTCCCTGAGAAAGTATGTGTTGAGAACAGCAGGGAGGAGTTCAAGAATGTTACTTTTTCTCTCTTTTCCTGTCTATTAGGAACTCTGTGTGGTGACAAATAAAACAGGAACACTTTCTGCTTGTAGAGGCAGCTGCCTGGAAAACATATAATCCCCACAGATTCCTGTGAGGAGACGCTGATGGGACTTGGGCAACTGACCAGATCAGAGTGTCACAAGGAGGAACTGGGTAGAGAGCTCTCATCGTAACACTCCTCACACAGTGACATCCTATATGGCTTCTGGGTAGAAACCAGTTTTTCCAAACCAAACCCAATGACAGAAATAGAATGTAGTTGATTCTCATTATTTAGTAATTTCTGTTTATAACTTTCCAGTTCCCCTTTTATCTATTGGGGTTAGGGGATGTTTTCTTAGATTCATATGTTGACTTGCAATATATTCTTCCACACTTTTATAATGAGGACCTGAAAGGTTATATGCTTTTTATAGAAAAGAACAGAATAGGACACAAGAGAGGAATAATGGCTTGTTGAGGGTGATCCCATCGAGAACTATGGCTGGGCTTAGAATTCATAGCTCCTGAATGTCCAACTGTTCTGCCAATTAATATTGGAATTTTCTAATTCCCAACTGAGTAAGCCAGGTTTCAGAACCTCTCCAAAAGCAAACAAACAAACAAAAAACACCAATAAAATATAAAGCTATGATAGAACAGAACTTTATCATTCTAGGTGCCTTTCTCAATAATAGGAATCTATACAGTAATTACAAGTGCTCATATCAGTCAGGTTGTAGCCAATTTTGAATTACAAGGGACACAGCATAGAGGAAATAAAACTGTGTTCTGATATTTTAAAAAGTGGAGTTGAGGAGGGGGAGGCTATATATCCCTAATATAAAAACACTCAAATTTATAAAACAGAAAAAATCTTCAGTGATCAAGCTCTCACAGAGTTAATGCCTATGATGCAATTTACTTACATTACCTCTCTTTTATAAGAGGAATATATACCAATAACTTTAATTTTACATGGTATGCAAGTTGAGATATGCTCAATGGTACATAGACAAGTAGTAACAAAATCAGGAATAAAATCTATAACAACTGACTGCAGGGCTATGTTTTGGCCACCAAACTATATTATTTCTTTTAGTTAAGGACAATATACTCAAGTCCTGGATCTCAGATACTGAAGGTACAAAAAGTGATTGTGTTGAATAGTTAGAAATATAATCATGTTGACATTGTATCACATCTTCCACGGGGTCACTATCAATGGGTTTCACTCCATTATTTATCTTCCTACTTTACTGTACTTTGTACCAGCTTCTTCCCATAATATTTATAATCGATGTAGTTCTTTTTCTCTAGAAAAAGTCCCTCTGCAAATCCCATGTTGCCCTCCTACCAACTTTCGACCTCTCTCTTTCTCCAAGTTTCTTGAAGGAATTGTTCTATACAACATCTTCATCTCCTGTTTATTTCCAATCTTCAGAGCAATCTGGATTCCCTCACTGACCTCCAAAGAAACTGCTTTCAGGAAGCTCACCAATTTGTTCAAACCATATTGTTTCTAGGTCCAGTAAACAATATCTGTCACTATCCTATTTTTCTCTAAAGTATATTACTTTGTTGACCACAACCTCTTTCTTCCATTCTTTACTTTTCTTAGTTTCTAGGTCACCAAACTCAGCTGCTTTTCCACTTAGCCCTCTGGCTAGTCCTGCCAGTTTAACTCTGAGGCTTATCTTGTCCTGTTCCTTAAATATCTATATTCCTGAGGGTTTGTTCACTGTCTTCTTTCTTGCTATCATTCACTGTGAGTGATCTCATCTACTCTCTAGCTTCAGAAGTGTAAGCCATGTTGTTGATGACTCCTAAATCAGTATTCGCAGCCCAGATTTTTCTCATGAACTTTATACCTAGTTTTCTCTTTGACTCTTCTGCATCTCCATATATGCCTCACAGATACCCAAGACTCAACATAGTGCTCATCATCTTCCTTCCCACTTGTTATCTTGTGTTTACTCTCTCATTAAATGGTGTCATCCTGCAAACAGTTGCCCAAGCAAAAAGAGAAGCTTCTCTCTCTTGACAGCTCTCTCTCCTTTACTGTCCCATGTAAAATGGACCCCCAGTTCTGTGACTAATGGATTTTCAGATTCATTCATTACTTTCTCTCCCTATTTCCACTAGCTTTTTCCAGCCATCAACATTTCTTCCCCGAATTTCTGCAAGAGCATTATAACTAGTTTCTTTGCCTATAGCCTTCGTCTCCTCAAGCTCACTGTCATTCATGTACCACACAACAATCAGAATTTTTTTCCTAAATTGAAAATGTGAGTATAGTATCCCCTGATTAATCTTATTGCCCCGAAGAGAAAATCCAAATTTCTTAATATATCTTAATAGGTCATTCACTATTGGCCCCTGCTTCTCTCTCCAGCCTTACTTCCTAATCACTTTGCAGTGCATCATCCAGTCAGATCAAACTTTGGTTCCTATACTATAATCATTTTCTTCCAGGCATGCAACATTCTTTTTTTTTTTTTCTACACGGAATATCCTTCTTTCAATTCTTCATGTGCTTAGCCCCTTTCCTCCTTCAGGTTTCAGCTTGTCAGTTTATTTGCTCACTTTTCCAGGAAGATTGTCCTATCATTCCCACCTCCTCCATCCCCTTCTGACTCCACATTGATTGAAGTACCCCTCCTGGTTCTCAACACTGTGCCCTGTTTTTTCTCCACCACCGTACTGAATCTTAATCGCTGGATTATTTACCTGTGCTTGTCACTAAACTGAAACAGGCAGACAGGAGGGCCTTTGTTTTCTTGACCACTGAATCTTACAGAGTACTTGGATCATGGTACAGTATGTGGGGGGAAAAAACACACACAAACAAACCAAAAACACTACACAACAACAACAACACACACAATAAAGTTTTCCTCCAAAATCTTTTCTGAGCTAAAGGAAGTCATCTCACTGAATTTTTGTCAGAAAAGAGAAAGCTTTTATTTTGAACCAATAAAACACTGACAGTTTTTATAAATATTTCTTTAGCTACCTTTTAGTTATGTATTTCACTATAAATGTATTTCGCTAACAATTAACCATGGGGCAGAGAAATGTTTGGATTTTAGGAACATACAAAGCAAGACAAACTTGGTGTCCAGTTTCCTCAATTACAGATTTTTCAGGGTTGTTGTTTTTTTTCCTATGAGGAGTCATACATAAACATTTTTAGTTAAATGGTTTCATAGTTCCTTTCTAGTTGCCTGAAGTAATTCATGGAGTTTACATTTACACCATCACTGATAATATAACACTAAAGTAGCAATTCAGAGTTTTATTCTATTACCTAGTAAAATCTTTACACAGACTCTGGGAAGTAAAAGGTATTGTTATTATTACTGCCATTTTATACATGTAGACACAGGGGGCAAAATGAGTAAAAATCACATAGCTAAGAAATGCCAAAGCCAGGACTACAACAGGTTTATAGATTTCCCAAACTTAACTGTAGGTAAAAATCTTGCAAAAGTGTTTCCAAATAGTATATTTTGCTTTATTTTAATGCTCAATAAGAATGACCACTTAGAAAATAGTGTTCAATATGCTAATCTTATTTGTACCAGCAAA